AAGACGAGTTTTCAGTGATTAACTCAGACTGGTCTCTATAGTATTTTCACTATATACTTATTACTTACCTTTGGTAATCCCTGTTATAGTCCCAATTGTCTCTTCTAATTATTGTCATCAATAAATTATTTTGAAAAATTAATAATAAAAATAATTTTATTTATTTTTAAAAGCATGTCTATTGTTTAATTTAAATAGGAATTATTTTGGTTATCTTACAGTTACTGATTTATAACCAATTCTACCAAGGTTAGAGACAGTATCCTGTTTAATTTTAATTTTTCTAGATATAGTGTGTTTTATGATCCAGAATATGTCCTATTTCTGTATAATTATGTGTATTCTGCCACTTTTGGGTGAAGAGAATTTTAAATATCAATACATCAAAGTGACAGTGTCAACTCTATGTCTTTGCTCAGTTTTTGTACCGCTGCTCTATCAATTTCTGAAAAAAAGAATTTTTAATCTTCAAATATGGTTGTGGGATTTTTAATTTAGTGATTGCATACATGCATAATAATGATTTAAATCATCCGCTTCAACTGTCCGCTTTATTATTACAAAGTGTCCTGGCACTCCGTAATAACAGTTTATTTTAAATCCAATGCAACACAGTAAATATCCTTCTTACACTTATTTTTTGCCACAATCTATCTTTTCAATCCATTTATTTTCAACCTGTGTCTGTATTTCAGGAGCTCTCTTAACAACATATAAGTCGGTCTTGTATCTTCATCAATTCTGAAACTCTGTCTATGAATTGCAGTGTTTAATTTATTAATACATAATGCAATTATTTATACATTTGCACTTGAGTCTACCATTTTATCTTTTCTAATTGTCTTTTCTTTTTCTGGCTTTTTTTGTTTTAACATTTTGAACATCCTTCTTTAGAAGATGTTTTATATAAGCCAAAGGTTACCAACATATACACCATAAAGAAACACCAAAGGAAATAAGGAATCAAAGTATGTTACTACAAAAAAAAATCAAAACACAAGGGAAGAGAGCAAGAGAGTAGAAGAGGCACAATGTAGTAACAAGGCAAACAAAACAATTAACAAAATGGAAATAATAACTCCTTCCCTATCAGTAACAACCTTAAATGTAAATGAATTATACTTATAATGACATAAAGTGATGTGGCTAAAAAAGAAGACCCACTGATATGTTGTCAAAAAGATTCACTTTCAATTTAAGGATCTACATAGATTAAAATGCAGGGATGAATAATATTTTCCAAGCAAATGGTAATAAAAATAGCAGAGGTTACCACAGTATATCAGACAAAATAAGTATCTGTTCAAAAACTGTCAGAAGAAATAATGGGGATTATGTAAGGATAAAAGGGTAAATTTACCAGGAAGTTATAACCAAGGAGTTATAACAGTTGTAAGTATATATACCCAACATGAGAGAATGTAAATATATGAAACATACACCAAAGTAACTGAAGGCAGGAATAACAACATGTTGATAGACTTCAAAATTCCATTTTTAATAATGGATAAAATATCTAGCCATAATGTCAATAAGACTTGAAAAAATGCATGGCAGATCAAATGAATCTAAGGGACATAAAGAATACTCCACAAAACAGCTGCAGAATACACATTTTTTACAAGTATACATGGAACATTTGCCAGGGATACAAAATTAACATACAAAACCTAGGTTTATTTCTATACAGTGACAATGACATCTGGAAAGAACACCATTTATATTATTTATAATTTCAAAAAAAAAGAAATACTTAGGGATAAACTTAAGCAAGGTGCATGTTGGGTGAGACATACACTAACAACTACAAAACACTACGAAAGAAGTTAAATAAATAAATAATGGAAATGGAAAGACAGTCTGTGTCTGATGATTAGATTTAATACTATTAAAATGTCCATACTAACCAAAGTGATCTATAGATTCAGTGTTATCCCTATCAAAATCAAATGGTATTCTTTGCAGAAATAGAAAAGTAATCCTAAAACCCGCATGGCACCATAAAGGATCCCAAAGAGCCAAAAAGAATTAAAAAAAAAAAAAAAAAAAAAAAACCTACCTGGAAACATCAGTTTCTGACTTTAAAAAATATTAGAAAGCTTCAGTAATGAAAACAGTGTCCAGAAATAAACCCATAAAATATTATAGTCAAATGATCTTCAACAAGAATGTCAAGAATATACACAATTGGGCCTCCCTGGTGGCACAAAGGGTTAAGACGAAACCTATAAAGCTATTCCCAGCCACTGCAGCACAAGTTAGATCCCTGGCCACGTAGCTACCCACATGGCACAGCAGACCTCTCCTGACTCTCCCTCTGCTTCCCTCAGCAGTCTATTTCAGTCATTCTGCCTGTTCTGTTCCCTACTCTTTTTCTGGTGAATCCTCTCACCACCCTCACACCTCTAGCCTGTATCCCAGTTCTTGTATGCATAAATAAATAAATCTTTCAAAAAAAAAGAATATGCACAATTCAGAAAGGATTCTCTTTTCAATAAGTAATGCTGAAAAAAACTGGATCTCTGCATGCAAAATAATGAAATGGGATTTCTTTTACACTATTCACAAAGACAACCATAAGACGTGAAACTCTAAAATGCCTAATTTTTTTTATAAATAATTTTTTAAAGATTTATTTATTTATACATACAAGAACCGGGGTACAGTCCAGATATGCAGGAGAGTGAGAGGATTCACCAGAGACAGAGCAGGGAACAGAACAGACAGAATACACTGAAATACACTGCTGAGGGTAGCAGCCGGCAAGACAGGAGAGGTCTGCCACGCCCTGTGGGTATCTCCCAGGCCTGCTGGGATCTCACCCGCATTGCGGGGGCAGCGGACAGCTTTACAGCGCTGTATTCAACCGCCTGCACCGCCAGGAAGGCCCTAAAACTCCTAACTTTTTAATACCAGTTTTAGCAATAGTTTCCTTGCAACAAAAGCAAAAATCAAACTACATCAAACTAAAAAGCTTCTACAGAGCAAAACAATCAACAGTGAAAAGGCAACATATAGGATGAGACAACCCATGTAACAAATAAGGGCTTAATTTTCGAAATACAGAAGGAAATCCTACAATTCAATAGCAAAAAAACAAGTAACCTCATCTAAAAATGTACAAATGACTTGAATAGTCACTTCTCAAAGAAATCATACTAATGATAAATATATGAAAAGATGCTCATTAATCACCAAGAAATTGCAAATCAAAACTACATGAGGTATCACCTCACACCTGTGAGAATGGTGGTTACCTTATATATATATTCCTAAATGTTGAATGTATTTTATATGTGGGTGTGGAAATACATGTATAGTAAGATAGACCAATGAGGATTTCTCACTTTGCTTATACTTCCACACATAACTGAGCTTGGATTACTATCTCTACCTATCTCAGATCTAAGCTTTAAATGTCATACTTCCTACAAAACCCAATGTGATTCTTACAGACTAGGTAGATGTTACTGCTATATAATTATGTATCTCCTTGTATCTTTTCAATCAATTGTATCACTAATGTTTGTAATCTTTGCCTTTTTTAGTAGCTAAAAGGTTTTGTTTTTTTTTCCTGGCAAGGATCATAACTTTGCTCATTATTTTATCTTTAGCATATAGCCAGGACTTAACACTCCATTTGCTGATTGGATGAATGAGTGCAATTTTTGTACGTCAAAAGATATTCTTTGAAAATATTGTCCTTAAGTGGACTGGTAACATCCCACTGACTCATGATTAGTTTTGCCATTTATGTTTGCAGAGCTGGAATTCAGTCTTTATCTTAAGACTTTAAAAAAGTTTGCTGTTCCTGTAATAATATCACATTGTTTTATGAACAATCAGTTTTAACTTGTTTTTATGATTACAAGAAAACATTTTTATACTTGCCATTGAAATATGTTTTTCTGTATTCATCTAGAATCTAGTGTTTGGAGATTTTACATAATTTTAATTTTAATGAAGATTTAAAAAGATGTAATGAGAGCAAGAAAAACTATTTTCTGCATGCTGCCTACAAGACTAAAATTTTTATACTGGGGAAGGAGAACAATAAAATCATGTATATATTAAAGATCTAAATGCATTCATACAGTGTAAGATTATAAATGTATTAAAAAGACATAATCAGTGCTTAATTCTGGTAAGAGAATTATAATTAACTTTCTAGTTCTTTTTTATATGTCCTAAAGTAATCACATTACCATTTACTGTATATTGATCAAAAATGTATATTAAAATAATACTAATAATTTATCATGTTTGGGGTGATTTTTTTTCATTTTTGTTCTTTTAAATCTTAGCCAAGTAAAAAATAAGGATATAACATTTAACTTCACTAAGTTGCTGATTTGGGTCAAATATGGTAACATGTGTACAGGAAAATGATTTAATAGTAGTTACTGGACCTAACAGTATTAGAGCCACCAGATAAAAGGCAATTAAGAGAGAAATGGAGAGTAGGGAGGTGGCTACAAGAATCGATAGTTTGGAAGGGTAAAAATGTGGCGCTTACTTGAGTTGGTTAGCAATGTGTTGCCATGGTCCTCTTTGGCACTGATGATACTTCATGCCAATGAATCCTGCTATGTTTTTTTAACCTCAGGGATCTCAGACCTGATAAAAATCCTTCTCAACATAATGCTCCAGTCAGCCACTTGTGAACTGGCATTCTAGTTCTTTTGCTATCAATAGTCTTGGAATTTCAAACATAGAATACACATCTACATTTTTTTAAAAAGAGATTTGTGTTATAAAAATGTCTAATTTATATTTTATCTTTTAAAATGCTCTTTATTTTTTCTTAAAAAGTTTATGTTACAGCAGTTTTCAAGGTCTTGACTTAGCATTCTGCAAGTCTCTATTATTTCTCTATTATGTCAGAAACTAAGGAACCGTAGTTTTTAAAAAATATATTCATAAATGGTGAAGTCAGATACAAATCCATCTTTAAACTGATGATTGCTTTTTCACAAAATGAAAAAAAACAAGTTTCTTACCTTTCCTCTGGAGTATCTACATGAAATGTTCTCTCTATAACAGTGGTCCACTGAAGACATCTTATAATAAATGTGTTTGGCTTTGGTCGTTCTGTTTTCATTAACTGGCATTCTAGAAATAAAATAAAATGTCTCTTTGAATAGACTTATATTTAATCCAAGAAGGAAATGAGAACTACAGAGTTGCATTACAAACAAAAACACTGCAACCTCAGAGTTTTCTATGGATTTCCACTCACCTGACCTCAGTGTTCCGTTCCAATCCATTGCCCATTCTAATGACCTCCTCTATTTATCAGCTAAACTAGACTGCTTACCTTTCCCCCAAATATTTCTTGCTCTTTTCTATAGCTATACCTTTGCTACAGCAGTTCTTGCTATCTGGGTATTTCCCATTTGTTTTAGCCCTATTCATATGCAATCATGAACAGTCAAAAGAATACCTATCCTTTAAGATCCAGATGGAAACTCCTTTCACAAAGCTTTTATTAAAAACTTGGCCCTAGGCTTCTAATCCCATTTATTCTTATTAATTATTGTTGTTTACCTTATTTTCCCCTCAGCCTAAACAAGTAACTTCATTCATCATTCTAGAAAGATATCCATACCCTTATCTAACTATAAGCCTTTGACAGTGTATACTACCCCTAGAGCTAGTCAACTGAAAAGTGGTGAATTCTGTTGAGCAACACTTATGAAGACCACAAAGAAAAGGGGCACAGTACAGTGATTAAAAGCAAGGATTTTAATACTGGTATGCCTTGATACAATTTATTTCTCTTAGCACATTTACTATATGCAACATTGGACAAGTTAATTGATTCCTCTGACCTTCAAGTGAAAAATAGGAAACATAAGAGTATCTACATTATAAAATTGGTGTGAGGACTAAAAGTAAACAGTATACTACTTAGCATAGTGTGTGACATATACTAGGTTTTCAATAAATGTAAGCTGTTTTTATTAGGCATTATATTTTAAGGATTACGTGGTACTGGAGAGTAAGTGTAATAACAGGGTTAGCTACTGTAACTCCTCTTTTGAAAGAAACTAATTTAACACTAGGAGACAAATTGACAGTGTTTTCCCAGTTATCAGTTAATCATTAGCAGCTAACATTTCTATGTTTTGATAGGATCAAGTCATTAAACACATTAGACTAATTTTTTATTGACTCTTTATACTAAAAGAGGTAATTCCTCCAAGGGGCTCTGCTTAGTCATCTTCTCTTTGCTTTTACCTTTTTCATGGTTTCAGTCATCATCTCTCAGCTTTCTAATATAAAAATCCAAGTTTCTTTCCATCTTAGATCTCTAGTTTATGACATAAACATCTGGCTATACAGAGGCTATTTTTACCTAGCTGAATTATGGGTACTACACCAAAAACCAAACTATCTTTCCCCCAAAATCTGTTCCTTATCCTGGATTTCCTAATTTTTCCATCATTTAGACTGAAATCAGAGGGTGACATCTTTCATATTTGTAATGTCTGCCATATTATATTTTCTTTTATTTTTTCAAAAGATTTATTTATTTATATAAGCACTGGGTACAGTCAGAAGCACGGGAGGGTAAGAGAATTCACCAGACCCAGAGCAGGGAGCAGAACAGGCAGAAGGACCGAAGAACACTGCTGAGGGGAACAGCAGGTGCGGCAGGAGAGGTCTGCGCGCCATGTGGTACCCTCGCCCGGGGATCAAACTGGCGCTGCAGAGGCTTCAGGCCGCATAGCAACCCAGCGCTCAACCGCTGTGCCACCACAGAGGCCCCGCCATATTATCTTTTCTACTGATATAATTCTCCTTCAAACTCCCACTGTCCAAGGCTTAGTCCTCCCCAGGTGCCATAAAACCAAAAATTCCAGATGTGGAAAGGCTAGAGGTCTTCTAAGAATATCTGAACTTGCCCAAAAAGTGAACTCCTTATTTCATCCACCCTATCTCCCCCATGTCAACCTTTTCTATAGCTTTTTCCATCTCATATGATGGTACCTACATCATTGCTCAAGTCAAAAACCATGAAATCATCCATAAGTCCTATCTTATATCTCATTCTGTAAATCCTGTTTCCTCAGTTTAAAAATATATCTAGTGTCTTATTAATTGCTCCACTACCTCAAAGCATCCATTATTATCTCCTACATGAATACTGCAAATCCTAAACCAGTTCTCCACTGGTCCTCATTGCAGTTTGGCCTCAAAAAAACCAGAATTGTTCTTAGAATGAACACATACAAAACAAACAAACAAAACATCTCTGCAATTATTCCAATTCACTAAGAACAGAGGAACCTTAAATGATCAAAAAGAGTTCATTGTGATCTAGGTCCTCTACCCACCCTACTTTAACTCCATGCCACACTGTGAGCTACCACATTGTAATGACTATATTCCTCAACAATACACTGCACTTTCCTAAGGATGTTTTGGCTAGTTGTACCCACTATTTGGCATTCCCCGCCCCCCCCACACACACCTTTATAACTAATTCCCTCACCTCCTTAAATTTAGATCAAATTTAAGCTTTACACTGAAACCTACAACATGGCCATCTAAATTAACATTCTAAGCTATATTCCTGACCCATCTTACCTCTTCTACTTTTTATTTCCCATAGTTTGTTCTCATTTTTAAACATATGAGATGAATAACTTAATAGCTTTCTGCTTACTTATACCATTCTGAACCAGAGAATCCAAGCTGAAAGCTAGATCAAATGATGCCAGCTAAAACAAATATGTAACAAAAAATAGAATTATTTAGGTTATCATTGCTTCAGTTTTTATCAAAAAAGATCAGATTTTATTTCAACCATTAATACTTTAAATACTACTTCTAGTCTTTTAAAAATAAATTCTACAAACTGTGAAAAACAAAGGCACAAAAACAGAATTATTTATTAAGTTGCATTATGAAATAATACATTGAGTTATAATGATCATGACGAGTTTACTTTTAAGGCCCCAGATACAATACTATTGAAAAGGGAAAAAAAGTACTTCTCTTATAAAGTTTTTGTTCTCCAGAGGTAAAAAAGCATAGTGCCAGCAATTGTGACTGGAAGGGAGGAGTCTTAAATATGGCATGTGCCCTAGTGGAGAGCAAAGACCAATGGAGGGCACCTGTTCAATAATCATTATATGACACGATTTGTACTCAGTGATGGTTTCTAACTGTTATCTTATCCAAACATCAAACCTACAGGTATTATTCTCCATTTTATAAATGAGAGAACTGAGACTGAGGCCAGGTATATAACAGTTCTGCCCAAAACACACATGCTGTGAAAGTATTTACCCTCAAGTTTACCTGAATTCAAATTCATGCTCTTCAGGAAAAAATATACTGCTAGGAAAATTTCCTTTAAAAAAATCAGCAATTGCATGTCCAAGTAATGGGAATATCTACATCCTATCCTGTAACTTTCCTATCTCTTTCATATACTGGGCCATTTTCCTTTCCTCCTACAAAGAAATCCAGGGTACTCTTCACTTAATAACAATATTTAAGTGGGGCAAGGGCCCTGATGTGTCTGCTGCTGGGTCTAAAGACAGCATAGAGATACATAGCAATGAGAGTTACATGCCTGTAGGATTCTGATCCTGGCATTTTCTGTTTCTCCAAGCAGGCATGTAGGGTGGAATGTGATACAGAATGAGGGGTGAAGGGAAAGAAGGTAGTAAGGAGGGGAATGGAGGTTCTGGGTTCTTTCACTGCTCCTTCTAAAACCCTGCAATAATAAGAAAGCTACTGATGATAAAAAAAAAATAATTATTAATGATGTATCTATCCAGCTTAATGTTTCTAATTATTTATTTGGGTCTGAACCACTTACTACCCAAAGTCAACACATCCTTCTCCATATAAGAAAATAGAAGAGAAAACAAAAAATAAGCTCCTACATTTTATTTGACAGTATAAATTCTATAAGTAAGAGGAGCAAGTTGTGTCACTACCATACTCCACTCCAGAATACATTTTTCAACCACTGCCAGAAGAGCACCTACCCCAGCCTCCAGTGGAGTACTCCAATGGACTGTCAACTGGAATATCCCACATGCGGCTATTGGAGACATTCCAATATCCCCCCCAGACTTCATAAGGCCCTAGATGCTAAGGCTCCATCAACAAAAAAACACCTAGAAGAGAGGGAGAGAAGAACCCAAATACAACAAAATCCCCATGTTCAGCAGTGCAAATCCAAAGGAAACAATGGGGAAAAGAAAAATACAAATGGCCAAGCAAATCATCAGAGTAACAATGTACCACAGAGAAAACAAAACTCTAGAACCAACAGACACAGAATTCAAAATTACCATGATTAAAAAATTAAAGAGTTGGAACAACACAAGGAAAACTCAGAAAAGCAAACGAATGTTGTGAGAAACACAATCAAGGAACAGAAAATCAAAATTCAAATCTTAAGAAAGTAATGGAAATAGGCCTCCCTGGTGGCGCAAGGGGTAAAGATGCAACCTATGAAGCAATCAGCAGCCTCTGCAGCAAGAGTTCGATTCCCTGGCCAGCCAGGTAGCAACCCACATGGTGCAGCAGCAACCCACATGGTAGAGCAGACTTCTCCTGACTCACCTGCTGCTCCCCTCCGCAGTGTACTTCAGACAGTCTGCCTGTTCTGTTGCCCACTCTGTCTCTGGCGAATCCTCTCACCCCCCCCACACTTCTGGCCTGAACCCCAGCTCTTGTATGCATAAATAAATGTTTTTTTAAAAGGAAAAGAATGGAAATGCAGGCTGTAGAAAAAGCAACAAAGATGAAAAATTCTTTAGAAAGCCAAAGAAATAGAATAAAGCAAAGAAGAGCAAGTCAGTGATCATAAAGATGAAAAAGAAGAAACAAAATATTAAAGAAAAATGCAAAGGGAAAAAATGAAGCAACACTTTGAGAATTAACATCATGGGGAAAGGAAATACAAGACTCTTCATCATCCCAGAAAAAGAAGCAAAAGAGAAATAAAAAATTTCATGAAGAAATAATAGAAGAAAACACCCCAAAGTTGAAGAAGGAGCTGAATATAGAAATACAGGAAGCTATAAGAACACCAAGCTACCTAAACAATAGGAAACCTACAGAAAGATATATAGTAGTAAAAC